ACAAATGCTACTTGATAAAATATTTCTAGATGTTTAATTTAAAAAATGTTAGATCTGTATTTTGTAATGCACCGACACTTTGTATATATTTCGAAATGGACTCAAAAAATACTATAATTCGAATACAAAATTTTGAGCAGTGGTCTCAAAGTTCACTTGTTTGAAAGGTTTAGAATGTAGAGAGAACATAACACTTACAAAGCTTACAAAAAATAGATCATCTGATCAGGAACTAATTACATGGGCTTATATAAATTCAGCTCAAACAATGATACCTAATTTAATTGAATTTTTACTTTTATTGCCTGGGAAACATACAATGTAGTATGTTATGTACTTATTTACAATCCAATCTTCATAAAATACGCATTAATCTATAAACAACACGTTATGTGGTGCGAATGGATTTTATTTAAATGAAACCTAGCAAAAAATATTTAATCTTAAAATTATTTACAGAAGCACTAGTTCGGTTAATTCCATTATGGGCTCGGCTATGGGTGTATTTGATTCAGCCAGTATTACGAAAGTCATCTATTAGATAACCAAATGCTAGTACTACTGAAAATTGACTCTCGTCATTGTCAACTACTGGTTTTTTATATGACTTTTTTATTCATCACGGAATCATTGTTTCGTTAGGACTATTTTAAACACTTCCTTTGGCAATTGACGAAAGGATTGAGCTCGGAACTGTTATAAATGGAGGGACGGATTGTCCTTGCGAATTAACTTTTGAGGCAAATAGACAGAGCTCTAAACATTAATAATGGTAGATTTAGTAGTCCAGTTTACTTACAGAAAAATCTTTTGAAATGAAAATTGAAATTGTCAAACGCATAAGAAAAACTTCATATTTTCGATTGGCGTTCATAAGTGTATAACAAGTAACAGAATATTTCAATGCAAAAATCCGAAGACCGCTTTCACATAAAATCCTAAGATTTACTCAACTTGGTTAGGTTCTTAGGTTTCGTCATTTTTTAAATTTATCAAATAAAAGGACTTATTCCGCATATATTCAAGCCTGATCAATCCGATTCCGTCTTGCTGTCCAACTAAATGGAGCTTTTAAAATTTGCAAAATCCAAAAATTTTTGAAAAATTCATACTGAACGAACAGACATTTATTACAAATAAATTTTGTTTCACCTGTTTTGGTTTAAAGAAATATGCTTTAAACAATTTATCACCACTTTTCAAAATTAAAATATCACGCCGTAACAATGGTTCATTTACTTAATTGGTTTAAAAACGGCCTGCAATGCTTTGGTATAATAAAAAATAATAAATTAGACACTTGATTCATTGAAAAGGCATCGTTAAAACTTGTGTTATCATTGTACCTCTCTCACAATGCATTTTTTACTGCGTTCAAATCTGTATTTACTTAGAAAAACAAGTAGATGGTGATGGTAAAAAGCGAACTAATAATCTAACATTTGCTTTAAAATATCACTGCCGCTAAACCCAGAAAAAAAAACATACATAAGAACTATTTGAGCAAATGTTGATTTTGTTGAATGCCTACGAAAATATTAGAACCTTTCCGAAAGCTAACACATTTTGTTTTTAACTAATTTGACAGATTTATGATAGTATCACTGATTTTTCAACCTCTACTTTTTGTCCTATAACTATCTAATTTCGTAAATTTTAACTGTGATTTTTTCTCAGTCGGTGATCCAATTCGAATATTTTTTTTATCGAATCAAGGCTTGAATCTTGGCTAAAATAAGAGTTGTAAGATAAGCAAAACAATTAAATAAAGATATTGTACAAAGTTTAAATATCATGTTTTCTTGGTCAAAGTTTAAATCTTTCTGTGTGCAATATGAGATAACGCAGAGAGAAAAAATTATTAAAAAAGATTCCGCTTTTCTTCTCCGAATGACAAAATCATCAGTTGTGGAAAAACTTTTGTCAGAAATGTCGAAGGTCAGATTTATTATGTTACGGTCTATGTATTTTCAGTATTCGGAATGTTGTTTGCATTGCAAGGAATGTTACTTACATTAATGCATTTTCGATTCACCAATATTACAGTGCATGACTAATAGATGAGATTATAAGTTTTAAGTAATTAACTGGATATGAGTCTGAGTCTCGAATATATACCTATATATCTAGGCAATATTTTATGTACATAATCTACGACGGAATAAAAGATTACCAAAAAAATTGCACACAATAAATCTGTTGCACGCATGGTGATGAAATGGTCAATTTCTTCAATACGATTCGAATTTTTTTGCAAAGCAAATGTTCAGATCAATAGCTAGGAAAGATGCATTATTCTGCAAGCATAATTTCTGCAAGTAGCGTGCTAGACAGCACGCTATCGAATTATTTCAACTGAAAGATGATGAGCTGCTGTATTTTCTATATTTTCCATTTATTTTCAAATTGCATTTTGTCGCTGCGTCGAGGGGCTTGGATTATGAGGTAGATATGGGGTAAATGTTGTGTGGGAAAAATAGAAATCGAAGTCATATATTTGGCAAACCTATTAAATTTGCATTAACTCGACCCACGTTGTTGTAATGATGCATGCTTGAACTGAAGTAGCTCAATCATCTAACAGATACTTCCAAATAACTATGTGAATGTCAATAAAAATAAAATTAAAAAAGTATAACAAGGTCAAAAAACGTAAAATAAATATATTCAGCAGGACATCGTCCTCAGTTTTCAACCACTTCAATGCAAACGGTGATTCTCATTTAATTTAATTCAATTTGCCCCAGCTAACCAGAGCGCAAACTACTTGTAGTAGCGAAAAGTGAAGAACATATTTTTGCATGTCGATTATAACAAGGAATTATTGTAATAATGAAACAATAGGCAAGCTTGCCATCTTATTCTTTAAATTTTTTTTCTTAATTTTCAAACATCTTACGGCCCCGACCCAGATTTGCGATGCACAATTGTGCTTTGAATGAACATGTGTCTTTACATTTTATACTTTAAAAAAGTTTATGTGTTTATGTGTATGTGTTTTGAAAAAAATATTTACTTCATTTCGCATTATATAAATTAAACTTTGTACAACACTCAGTAAATCCGTCAGAAAAAATTGTTTGGCCATCGTTTAGCAAACGCGTATATCGCAAACTAGAGTTACTTTCAGATGCAAAATATCAGGTTAAAATGAATATAATGATAACATTACATGATAGTAGCCTTGTAGCCTCATAAGTAAATTAAAGTTCAAAGTTGTTACTTAAATCCTATATATTTTAGGCATACCATCGCTGATACCTCGGCTATGAGTTCTAGTTTTACTTGAAAAATTAGTGGCGCTCTAACAAAACCCTTGTCAATTTTTATACCTAAATTTAAAGATTTCCAATTGCACTTCAGTTAAATAATTTAGGTCAGTCTACTTTGCATCCCTGAACTTTGGTGTAACAAATTATTTTTGCAGGCGCTTTTCTGCGTTCTGTGGTCGGGAAACGCATCCATACAGTTGGCAATAACTCTTCCAGCCCTGAGGAAGTTGACAATAAATTGCCGAAATCTAGGTAGCTAAAAAAGTTTTTCTTTCTCTCCCCCACTGCCCAGACCAAATTCCCAAAAAAATCAACCATCTTTCAATTAATAACACATTGTTAGGTCCATCATTGTATTTAACTCGAGGTTTAACTACTCAAATTCTCGTACATTTCAAGTCATAAATTATTAACATTTGTAAGAAAAACAAACATACTACTGTTGCCGTTTGCTTTTGATGATCAGCTCTAGATGCTTTCGATGATCACTTTTTATGATTTCGTCAATGGCGAGTGGCGATTTTCTGCTACTTCTGATATCTATGTTATGTAATATGTATATATTACGTATAAATAACCTGCAATATATTTTTAGAATATTTACTATTCTCTGATGTATCGTAGGAAGAATATTTTAGAGTACATTTTGCATCTTGTGAAATCCATTCATTGATATTCTTCGGCACCATACGAGCTTATCGTGTTTGCTCAGGGTGTCTACATTTTTACTGTAAAATGCATTATGTAAAATTGCCAGTGCATTGTTTATCAGTCTAGTTATCTAGTATAAGAAACACGTATAACTAGAAATAGTTAAGGTCAGCATGTATAATACGTAAGTTCAGAAGATTGCAATCGATCGAATTGAATTGCAAACATTTGAAGACTTAAATCTCAACTTATACCTGATGTAAGATGGTACAAGGTGCATTTGGCAGGATTGCTCCTAAAATTCGCTAAAAGAATGGAAAGTCAACATTTCTAAGAATATCTGATAGCACTTTTCAGGAAAAAATGTGCAATATTAAGGAAGTCGTTTATTCAGTTCAGTGAATTCGATGAGGAATTGTATTGTTCTAATAATCACACCAAGAAACGCATTCAGAAATTGCAAAATAATTACTAATTGGGTGTGTTCAAAGCACAAGATGATCAGCGTTTCTTGCTTCTTGCAGACTATATGTTCAACACAATCTCATCCATATTATGATGCAATGCATTTCCACCTAGCTATTTGCAAGCAACGTTTTACTCGATACTTAATAGGCTGGTCGATACCTACATGGGATTCTTATGGTCAATCAGAATGATATCGAGAAAAGGTAAAGATCTGTGTTGTAGTTTGTTGGTGACCGTGATGCTAATTGGTAAAAGATGAATATTGAGGTGTTATGGATAATTCATCAACACAAACTGAGAAAGCGGCAGAAAAATCCACAATTTTTCTATATAAAAGTCTACGTTGTTTTTTAAGCAATGTTTTTAATTATGTTACTAAGTATATTCACTGTTCAGTTAGAAAAGTTTTCATCAAGAATTGGGAAGATTTAACCAATTTGAAAACTTTTGCGGCTCTTGAAAACAATGACTTAATTCATACAAAACATAGTAAGTAGATAAGAAAGGAAGTTCACTACAAGACACAAAAAGCTAGTATCTAAATGGGGAATGCTGGTGCTTAGAAAAGCCTGTAATAAAAACTAATGAAGGGAAAATAAAACAATGCTGTGAAGTTACTAAAATTAGTTTATTTGCACTAAACAAAAGAATAAAGCAATAATCAGCTGGTTGTCATGTGTCGTATTTCTTCGTATTTGCTGCTCCGTTCAATCTTCTTTCCGTCATCGTCTGGCTGTCTCGACACACTAATAATACTAATATAAAGGTACATTTTTTAGTTCAAACTAAGTAGATTGGATTACTCCGAAAAATTATCCGATTAAGAGTATAAATAAACAATTGAATAGATCAAAAAATGATCACATGTGTTGACAAAATAAACCCCGTTCTCCATACAGCCGGAGGGCAGTAAATGCAAAATAAATCACCTTCACCAAGCCACTACCCACAGTTTTTTCTTTCTCAATCCACTTCAATACAAACGGTGTTTCTGATTTAATGTGGTTCAATTTGGAAGTAGTCTTAGTTAAATTCAGAGTTCAAAGTGCTTCTCGTAACGAAAAAATGGAAAAGACGATGAAGTACAAAAATAACGTTTTTTAAATGATTGTAATATTTGTACCAACCAACATCGTGCCATTGTTGCTTACTAAAAAAAGCGGTAGCATGTTGGTAGGCACCATCGTTTTTTCATTGTAAAATATGCGTGTTCATAGCTATTAAAAAAATAATTAATCTTCACTTTTTAATTAAACTACAACACCTGATAATCCGTATGTAACAGTTTTAGGCTGTCGTTTATAGAGGATTTTACAAAAGTCGGTTAAATTAGGACAAACTTGCACATTTAGATGCTAAACAAAATTGTTCTAAAGTCGGAAAATGCCGGCTAAAAACATTCAGAAATATCTGAAAAACCAGAAAAATGCTCCAATGATTTTTGTTTTTTTCTGAGCTTATCTGAAGAGGTATATTTGAATAATTGCCACATTGTTGGTTTGAAACCTTGGCCACCTTATTACTTTCTACAACATTATAATATAAGACTTACTATCAGATCTGGAATTAATCTTTCGTGTTTCACCTTTATCAACATTTTTAAATAAGGACCTGTTAGTATATTTGACATCGGTTTACGAATTCTACAAATTCTAGTAAGTAATGGTACTGTAATTAATTGTTTTTGTTTTCGTTTTTTACCCGTTCTTTACAATATCACATTGATCATTTTGTTATTCGTATATGACTTATATTAACTTAATAAAATTGATCAATAACTATTTTATTTGTATCGATTTATGTAATTAAGTAAGTAGTAAACTTAAAATAATCATAAAATATTGAAAAATGTTTTGGTTTTGTGCAATTCGCTAGATTTTTTTGGACAAAAAGGACAAAAACGCACTTGAATACAATGACCCAATGATTCCTAACTGACCCGTATTCTCCATTACTACATTCTTGGAGACTGCATTTTGTATTGCACCCAAGCAAAGAAAAAGAAAAATTTTAAATTTGTCATTATTTCATTTGGTACAAAAATAAATATTTGATTACTTACTTACTTCAGGCCTAATTACAAAATATACATGAGTTATCAAATTCTATTAGGTCGTACTTTAAAAATTTCGTTAAATATAAATCTTTTAAATTCGGATCGCACTTAGTTTCAGTTAAGAGCAGTCAAGTTTCAGTTCATAATAATAAGTGATAAATATGATATTGTGAAAAAACGGGTAATATTTGGGGAAAAATGTATAATCCCTTTACTGTCGTCCGTAGAATTTACAAACTGGTTTAAACGTACAGGTCCGTATGTAAAAAAAATGAAGTTGATGATAGAGGCCCGACAACCGAACATTGAATTCCAGATCTGACAGTATAATGTTGTAAAGAGTATCTAAAAGGATTCTAATAATGTGACAGTTATCTTAAAATATTTTATTTTGAATTATCTCCAAATAAGCTCAGAGAAAAATTTAAATAATTTGTAGACATTTCGATTTTTATATAAGTAAGGTTTTTAGGTAAGTCTTTGATACTTATTAGGAATTTATTATCTTTTAAAACCACTCCATTTTGTGTTGCATCAAAATTAGCAACAATGCTAACAACTCACATTTGTAACACTATAGGTAACTTGTACTTATTTGTGAAATAAAATGTATTCATTTCTTTGGAAAAGTTGATGTAACTAAGTTTCGTAAGTAAGTACCACTTATATTACTGATCCGTTTCTATCCGAAATGCAATATTTTATATGTAATTATGTATGAACTGATTAAAATAGGTTGTCGAGAGTAGAGTTGAACAACAAATCCACTGCCTCTGATTTTTTCACAGCGATGAACAAATTAGAATTAAGTACAAACTGTGACTAACCTAAAAATAAACAGTGATTTAAACCGTGATTTTAAAGAGCAAATTTGCTTCTTGTGACCTGACGAAAGAACTAGGTAGGTAATGCAAATAAGATTCTCGCATTCGTTGATGGGTTGTATTTACAGCTTGCACTCACAGCTTCCCATGAATGTGGATTATATTGATATTTTCAGGGAACTATTTTAGTTTGCACCAATCATTAGCCGTATTCATTGATTTATATTCATTCAAAAGAAAATTTGGCCAAATTTGGTCAAATTTCCTTTGGCCAAATTTTCTTTTGAAGGCTTGAAAAAAAGACCTAAAATTACAAACAAACAAACTGATTCATTTATTTCATCCAGCGTGTACACGCCCATTCATAGGAAACTCAATAATAGTATTGAGTTACTTATCTAGTTCTAGTTCAAAAATTCAGTAGAGGTTTTAATATGAAATAACTCGAAAACGGTGAGATATCGAATTAGGAGAAGCACACATTTTTTGCTTAGGAAATAGCGGAGAATAAGGCAAACAAGAAAGCGATATTTTAAAACCAAAAAAAGTTCTGATGTTCTAAATGGCTCCAGACCACTACAAGCAGGGGGATAAGCAATTTGCATTTGTCGATCTAAAAAACCACAAATACCTACAATTTGTTTTGGTACTTAATAATGAAACTGGTTAAGAGTATTAAAATAAAAGAAAATTTTCATTTTTGTTGACCTACACTTTGACACCTTGGACCTCAAAATCCATTAACTTTCCTATAAAAAAAATACCTAAAAGGCAATTTTTTGTCTAAGCCACTCACTGAGTCTGCGAAGAAGTCAGTGACTTTTGTCGCATTAGTTGAGGACCATGCTGTAATTATATTTTTTTAATTTCCTTTACTTAATGTCTCTATTTTGTTTCCGATGAGCCACTCTGCCATATATGTATTATTATAATATTTACTTACTCTTCTGAACTGTCTTGCATTATATGTCACCGTAAAATGCTAAATGAATTATGTAAGGCAAGTTTAGAAGATTACAAATGGTGGCTGATTGATTCCGCTTAAATCTCGGGTTGTACATGATTAAAGAGTGTTTCCTGTATGCAAATATCTTCAGTAATAATAATAAAGTAGGTACACTTGGTAGGATTACATCCCAAAATTTAAGTACCAAGAAAATAGAAAGTCAACATTTCTAAGAATATCTGATAATACTTTTGAGAAAAAATGTGCAATATTAAGGAAGTCATTTATTCAGTTCAGTGGATTCGTTGAGGAAATCGATTGTTCTGATAATCGCAGCAAAAAAAGCATTCGGAGATTGCAAAATAATTGCTAATTGGGTGTGTTTAAAGGATAAGATGATCAGCGTTTGTTGTTTCTTGCAGACAATGTCATCTTTTCGGTGCAATCGCATCTGCATTATGAACATGATCTAAGTACTTAAGACATAAAAGAATTTGATTTCCCCTTGGAAATTGCAAATCACGTTTGTTTTAATAGATTTAAATAGGCCGATAATAGGATATTAGAATAGGTCGATACCTACTTGCTACTCTTATGGTGAGTTAGACTGGCATGGAGCAAACGTAAATATCTGTATACCTATTTTCATAAGTAATAGGTATTGTTAAGCATGTTACTAACCAGATATAAAAGACTTTTGATCATGAATTAGGAAGATATTGACAGTCGAGAAACTTGTGCAGCTGATCTACAAAATCTACAATGATTTGTTTGAAACAAAACATAGTAGATCCGAAAGAGGACCTCACTACACGAAATTTGCTCTGAAAATTGACACCAAAATGAGCAGGAGTACTGTTTAGATGGATCTATACGAAACACTAATAAATTTTCTTTCTTCCATACAAAATTACAATTTTTACCTCCCTCAATTAAGTGTATGTAAAGTAAAAGTACCTATAAGGAGATCAGAGGAGTCTGAGAAAAATATTCAGTTTAAGATTTTGAGTAAACACTTGAATAATCAATATGTGCTCATAGATGAAATACAAGCAGACAAATAATATGTGTACAGTGTATTAGTCTTATATGCTAGAGGTGGGCCTAAATAAGCCAAACCTGTATGAAAGTAATGTTATTGTTTGGCATTACTTAATAGAATATCAATAATATTTAATACACACCTCAAATTAGCAAATTCCTGAATTACTACTGATATTAAAATCCTGGGGCCACTTAAAAACACTTCACTGCACTGTACATGATCTTTCACAAATAAACAAACCAATCCCAAATGTGGAAAACTCGAAAAAATCGCCTTTTTCGGTCTATTTTGACAGTCCAATACTCACATACGCGCACCCACTAAAACATTGGTCGTTCAACTATTTCATTTTATTTTGCTTGCCCTCGGAAATATTTCCCCAAGCTTGCCGTCTCTCTTTTAAGCACAGATCAGGCATTGATAAAGAAAGTATCGAGAGAGACACAAAACGTGTCATTTACATTTTAGACTGCTTGAGGATAAAGCGAACAGAGGGCAGCAGGATGAATTCGGATCAGAAGCATTTGTGTGGACTGCTGCAGGCAACTGAGAATACAAAAATAAATGAACAACAAAGGGAACAAATATTATACAATGCATTTTCCGTAGAGTAAGAACAGATTAAAAAGCAGTTGATTTGAATGTTTTATATAATTAATTGATTGAAAATGCAGATCTGAAGGGCAGCACAGTTTGCGATGGCGTCAGCTTTGAAAGTAAAACTAATTTCTGACTTTGATTATCAATCAAACAATTAAGTTATTCTAATAAATAGAATTGTTTGTTTAACAAAAGCTCCACGTTTAGTAAATTTCTGTCGTAAGTTTTAACATATTTTTTGGGCCAATTTCAGTGACCTGCCGTCATTATTGGCAACGCTGCCCGGAACATGTGATTTCAATCGCTTGTCATCAGTCATTACCCATCATCATTAAAAGTCTGATGATTTGTTGAGGCTTAAACGTCACATCTTTTTTATTTTTCTTTATTTTCTAGAATTTCTTTGCGTTTAGCCTTAATTTGTGTTCAGTCTCATTTTGTTTGAGGTGAGTGTACAGTCTCCAAATCCCAAATCGATCCAAATTTACCATCTGTTGACATCATAGAACAATAAGTCTTTGTAATGACTAATTTGTTTGCATACATTACAATTTACAATTTCCTTGCCTGGTAATGGTGTTGATTCCAGGGCAAAATGGAGAATCCATCAGGCTCTAGGCCTACATCCAAACTGGAGCAAACCCAGCAACAGGTTAATGAAGTTGTGGGGATCATGAGGGTCAATGTGGAAAAGGTGCTGGAAAGGGACCAGAAACTATCCGAATTAGATTCCAGGGCCGATGCTCTACAAGAAGGTGGCAAACGGTTCGAGCAACAAGCCCAAAAATTGAAGAGAAAATATTGGTGGAAAAATATTAAAATGATGATTATTATTGGAATTATTGGGGTCATTTTGTTAATCATCATTATTTGTAAGTATTAAGTAGCTGTTTATGCATTGTCTGATTATCTTATCTAATATTAGGCATTATCAAAAAATAATAAGTCTGCCTTATGCTTATAAGGTTCCATTGTATAGCAATTTGACGTTCCAATTGATCTTATCTAAATATTTTTTGTGGATCTGCTAATGCATACATTGTGATATACAGTGTGAACACTTTTAAAATTTTTTGTTCTAATGTTGATCTTTTTTTGGAACATATCACATTTTGCTGCAAAAACCAGGACTTTGTTGTTAGTTTTTAGGGACGAAATTTAAAGGAAACATGTACAAAAGGAAATAATATTTTACGTGTTGATATTTACTTCTGTTACAGACTAATATAACATTCTTGGTATGGATTTATTTTAGTTCATGAAACGGGCAGTAGGAAAAACCTTAAATATGATGTTTATTTATAATAATATTTACGCAAAATGAAGCCCAGCATGGCCATCAAATTCTGATTGATGAAACTCTCCATTTATGTTCAATTCATTTATTATACTTTTTTGTCTGTTTGTGGTTGCTTTACTCATGTGTTCTTTGCAATATTTTAGCCTAATGAAATAGAAGTGATATAACTAATAATTTAGTAATTTTCACTCATTTTCAAGATTTTCTTCTAGCTTTTAATTCATACATCTATAACAATAATGTAATATTTAATTGTGCTGAAGAATTATTATTATGTGATGTTGAGAGGGCGATTAACATAGTTAATCTATTCTGATTGTTGTAAATGAATGTTTTTTCATTCTTCCCTAAAAAATATTTAATATGTGAGTTGTTTAACCAAATTGTCACGTTTTGTCCTAGAGTATAGTCGTCTTCGGTCTACAATCCAAAAAAAGATTTATCAAAGTCGGGCGATAAATAAATATTTTGTACATATCTAGAAAAGATTTACAATGCAATTAATTAGACTCGTAAATAATGTTTGTATTATTTGCTTTTCTTATTATCGTTTTCATTTTTATCTAAACGGATTATTACATAGGTATATCTCTGCACATACATGGTTACAAGCGGCGGTATACAGGGTGTTTTTTTAGTGCGAGAGAGTCAATTATTTCCGTTGGTGTTCAGCTTTCGAAAAATAGTTTGATATAAAAGTTGTTGACACAAAAAGTGCGCACATTTTGAAAATATTTTATATGATACAGAGTGTCTCAGAAAAGCTAAGCAAGACAAAAATGTATTTTTTTAAATAACTACCCATTTTTTATTAGCTCATGGAGTGCAGCTTGAAACGCTGCATATGCACCGTAAATTATTTTTTCTTACTTGTGACGTTGGCAGCTTATCGCAATTTTAGTGAAATGTTGCTGAAAAACATGATATCTAAAAATTCATTGTAGAAGCAAAATAAAGCAGTTAAAGATACAAAAAATACGTCTTTCGAATAACCACATCAGTTAAGAATTCTATTGAACCAAAATATTAATACAATGTACAATATTGCACAGGGTGTTAACAATGTGGACTTAAATCTATAACTTTTTAGCGCAACATAACTTTTGTTTTTGAAACGGAAGTACCTGTATATTAATACATCATTAGATAGACAATTTACAAATTTGCATTTGCATTTTAAGCTGTAAAATCATCCGTTTTCAAATTATAATTTATTTTACTTAAAAATTTCAAAGAGTTCCTTCCTCTTCCATCAGAAAAGTAAGGCCCAATTACATAATTTCCGATAATGCCACTCCAAGTATTAATGACCAACGAGTATGACTATTTGTTCTTATAAAATAAGGCTTGGTACTTGCATAATAATGGAAATTCTGTCTATAACCTTTCCATTTTTATGAAAAGTTGCTTCATCAGTAAATAATACACAATTAAAAAAATATCTGTCTTCTTCAATTTTGCGTCTGGCCTATTCACAAAATCTAACTCTAGTTACATAGTCCTGGTTGTTAAGTTCCTGCGTTAACTGGATGTGATATGGATGAATTGTTTACTAATATTTTTTTAGCAATTATTCTCTGGGAACTATCCGATAATTAGTAAACACATGAATAAAACACTGCTATCGAACAACTTAAATGAATTACATTTCAACTTAACTTATTACTAATGAATTACAACTATCGAATAATTCGATAGTTTTCTATTTTCGAAAATTTCCATCGGTGAATAAAACATTGCTATCGAATAGTTCGATAGTTCCCATCGCTACTTGTATCCCAATGTGTGGAATTAGTAAAAGTGAAATCCAACATCAGAAAGAGTTTTGAAGAAGCGTCAAGTTCTTACTTGTTAAACTATCATAGAGTTATAAACCAATGTTACAATATAAAATTTACTGGTATAATGATATTATTTTCAGTTGCTATTACTGGTGGCAGCAAGACAAGTGGTGACAAAGACACTACAAGTGAACAGCAAGCTGCTATAACACATTCGCCTTAATTGCCAGTCGCTTGAACCAACATTTATTACATGCTTATGTATATCATAGGTTCTGAGATTTGAAAGCTGACTAGAAGTTATTCAGTATATTTTGGTATTAGGTTGTTTTTTTTAAATTTTATTATGGGCACAATTCAATTTGAGAATTTAAAAACATAGTTCTTGGGCAATATCTACTACACATGTTGATAAGCGTCAAATTAAAGCGGCTTGAGTGTCTTATTAACAAGTCACCCGAAAAGAAAATTACTTATATTGTATTATTAGAGTTTAATATAGTTATTGGAATTTGGCCCACGCCAGGAATGTAATTTTACTTTCATGGTCCTGTTAGGTCTATATATCTATAGGTTGGTTGATAAATTTATTCAGAGAAATTGTCATTATGCATTAGAGTTGTTAATTTTGTCTCTTCATATGAAAAATATCAATGTCGCTAAATGTAACTTAAGTGCCTTAATAATTAAACCTATGCGCACAGATGCAATTTTTTATGGCTGTCTGTTCTATTGAACAATTTAAAAAGTAACTCTAATTATCAGAAACATTAAATATTCATACAAATATATGTACAGTACAGTTTTTTCTAAGGTTTTGCAGGTTTATGCTAAATGTGGTTTGCATTTATTGGTATGAAAATGTCGATATCGGTTGGTCTAGTTCAATATGTTTATAAACTATAAGTTAAAGTGAAATCATGTGTCCGAGTTGATTTGATTGATTACAGGTGAAAATATTCATGCCGGTCGTTTTTCAGTTAAGATTGATGGGGAAGTAATATTTATATAATTTATATTGCTATTTTAATTAATATATTTTTCATATGTAAACTTTCATTTTGTTTCATATCCAAAGTTTATAACTTTATGCAATATTATGTACCCTATTGCTTCATCAGTTCTAAGTTATAGAGAAATATCAACTACATTTTTTTTGTTAAAAGTGGGAATTTCAAGATTAAATACTTACTACTAAAATTAGACACATTTTTCTCTCTGGGACTTATATTGTGTATATTCAACGTTGTGTGATTCTCCCTTAATATTGATGAATATGTAATATATGTAATTTATTTAATAAAAATTTAGTATTGTTTGACGGTAAAAGTGATGATGTTTCGCGGTGATTCATCTACAATCGGAATTGTCAATAACTGTCGCGTACGGATTGGCAATACTTTATTTCAAGTGGACATTGGGCCAAATATACCGCAAATTCAAATGTAAACATGTGTTTCTAATTTTTGGCATTTATACTGAAAATTTAGAGGTTTTGATAATTATTGAAGCTAATTTTTAACCGATAAATACACATTTAAAGTTAATAACTGTTTGCCCTTTAGGTCTAACAAAAAGTTTACCTGACGCCCTGAAAGAGCAATTGATATATCCATCAATTATGGTTGATTTATTTTGTTTCATCTTGGCATTTTTAACCGAATTAACTAATAAATTATTTAAAGCACAAAAATGCAGTAAATATGACACGTAACGAATGAGTAAACCGGGTTTGAAAAGAAACTCGCGGGTTTCAATCAGCAGGGTGAGATTGCGCGCGATTTATTTAGCTCTCTTCGCTCCATTACCGTAAGGGGGGTCTGGTAGCATCATGCCTACTCTGGCTAGTCATTGGTCTCGATTTTGGGCCATATAAAGTACCTGTCTTTATCTATCTCGCCCCTCCCAAATCCAAGCGCTAATACCGATCCAAATTGGGATTTGATCCCAATCCGGGATTGGGATCCGAAGCCAACAAGGCCTTTCGCCTTGGCGTATCAAAGCAGGATGAGCGGGTCCAGACTCTAACAAGCCAGCTCAAACTCTTCAACTCGTACTCCACCAAAACGCCGGAACAACCCCCCCTGCAAGCCCCAACTCAGCCTTTAGCGAAAGAAATGGAAGTCGAGGACACTCTGCCCTCAAACCCACATGGTCCCTAAATCTTCTCAAAACTTGTAACGCTGCTCTACACCAGTACATGGTGCAGAGCGCCGCCGCCCCCCAAATCCAGGCCTCATCCAATGCCACTTTGGCCCCCAATTCCTGGTCTGCCAGTTACTTCGAATGTCCCTACAAACCCAATGTCAAAATGGAAATGGTAGCAGATACTTCCTACGCTCAAAAACCAGAAAATAATGTTCCATAGAACCTCCCCAAAACCCAATTAAATTGCTGCTTTTCCTAATATCCGAACTTGAGGCCAAAATCAACTCCAAATCCATTGCAAAATTCAACAAAGCTACGGATAACTGCATCAAAGAGTCGATGCTTTAACAAGCTAGCTCTAATAAATACCATACAGAGCGGCTTCGATCAGGGGTTTTGTTTAGACAATCCACGGTTTCGGTGGTCTGCCTTCTGACCCGTGGGCGGCGTCCATTTATTTTTCCCTCGACAACTCTGCTTGAACTATTTCCTAACATTTCGGAAAACTTCACCGGGAATTGACCGGCATCTGCTGCAATTCGCCTTTTATGATCATCAATATCAGCAGGTTGTGTTTTATAAACAATGGACTTTAGATGTCCTCAAAGAACGAAGTCTAAGGGTGTTCAATCCGGTGATCTTGGAGGCTATTCAATTGATCCCCTTCTGCCAATCGATCTGTCCGGGAATATATTATCTATGTTAGGGAAGGTTTGAAAATAAACTTTATTATTGTTTGCAGGAAAGTAGACAACATTTTTAACAACTTATAAGATGGTGCGTATGTAGATCCCATGGGTTTTATTGTAGAAATTTCTCTTCCGTAAATAAAAAATAATTTTTCCCGAAGTAAAATAATGAATAAATCGGAAATCAATTGTTTAAACTAGATTTTCTTCCTGTTATTCAACGATTTTAGCGGTGTAACCGTCTCTTCTAATTTATTGTACTATAAAGAGACCCAACACTAATCTGAGAACCAAAATATCAATGCAGGCAAGTTTAATTGTTTCTGTAATTTTGAAACGCGATTATTTGAAATCTTCTGGACCAAAAGCAACAAAATAATAACTAATGTAAAGAGAACTGAACGCCTTTTAAAACCATGTGCCACTTGAACCTCTAAGGTTCTAAGGGTGACATCTACCCGTCGTAGGGAGTTGAAACAAGAAGGCTAAAAAAAATAATTAAAAGTGTCCCCCTACTAATAAAATTGACGGTTCTTTCCGAATTTTCAGGTTTTCAACTGCAAGAAAGGTATTAAGGGTGGGAAGTTTTCAAATTGACACCCGGGATATGTAAGATATCCAGGAGACATTAAATCTCCGGTTTACCGAGCACCGATTTTCTTACTCAGAAATGTTTAGCTCTGCGTTTAGCATAGAGATATAATAACTTAGTTTTGCATTTACTACTACCCTTTGACAAATAACTCGGATAAATTAATTTTACCTGATACAAATGAACTGTAACTGAGTTTAAAAAGCTTTGACTGTTTCTCCTTTTGTCACTTTCCCACGTTCATTTCTTTACCACCTGTTCCAGTTTTTTTTTTTGGTGTTTTAAATATCTACAAAATATTTTCTAAAAATTAATATAGACCACTATAAACTAAAATATAAACACTTATTTTAAAGTTGAAATTGCCGATTTAAGACACACTGATTTAAAATCTCCAATACAATTAAATAGGTTTATTTATCTGAATGAAAACAAGAAAAGTCCACTTGGTGAGTGTTAGTTTCGGTAAATTATTTAGACTTTTTATGATTGTTGAAACCTTTGAATATAAAACTAACTTTATGATTGTTAGCTTTATATTCAAAGGTAGAAACTGTTCTGTTTTGCTTGTAGTTTCTCGATTTTGTCACACTTTTGTTTCTAGAAATTTTCTTTTGCTTTTCTGATCTTTGTATGGACTACTCGTTGAATTGCATTGTGCTGATTTTGATTCTTGCCTTTTAACTTTCTTCTTTTATCCACAAGATAGCTAATTCCGTTCGACAGCCATTCTTTCTTATAATTCCTTTCTCTAATTTTATCCTATCTTTCTTCAGTATAATCAGAGATAAGTAGACTCTAACTAACTAGTCAACTAATCTCTGGTCTAATTACTGTGCGTTTAAGTACATCCAATTTAACGTTGTGCCACTTTTCGTTTCTGTTTATGCAGTTTGGATGCTGTTTGCTTTCACATATTTTTAAGTTCTAGTTTTTGGATTTATAACTCGTTTATTTTTAGTACGGTACTCTCTACAGTCTAAAACTTGAAAACTACTTAAACTTAAAAATTCTCTTACGCTCCCCACTAAATGTCACAGGTTTTTTTTTACAATTCTTTTGCAGTGTTCATATATCTTATACTTTTTAAGACGTCGTCAAATTGTGATTGTCTTGAAGATGATTGTAATCAAGGGCGGATGCAGTTTTCAAGTCAGAAGGGGTCATGTAGAATAGATTCAGTCAGGACAGGATTCAATTCAGTTACAACAATAAATGTAACTGAAAAAGTTTTGTATTGCTAAATGTCGTAGTAATTTTAATCAAATAACGAAACCAATTTTCCTCTAATGCCTAATGGTTTTGTGAACGTGGAGATGTAGCAGTCCAGTTAAGCACTCTTCTGCCATTGAAGCTCTAAAAAACTTCAGTGAAAAGCTGATCCGAGAACTCGTGCAAAAATAAACCGACTGGTTTCACCGCTCTTACTGAGGATCTTCTATTTGTCTCTTTAGAACGATACATCCAGCTGCTTCATGAAAAATGATTTTATGATTTATTTATGACAGTCTCACGAAAATTGAGCAAAATACTAAATCGAGAGCTCGTGTGAAAGCAAGTTTCATATTACGTTGGAGCATTGATTATGTATCTAACTATGGCTCTCCACAACATGTCCAGCTGAAAATAGTCAAAGTTTCATAAAAATTAAGCAAAAAGCATTTAATTTAGTCTGTTGCGCTCCATGATTGGAGATGTTTATATTTGGTTGGAAAACCTATTTTGTTCACGGCGGCCATCCAAACTAGTTTGAACCAGAAAATTGCGTTTGAAAATATTTGTGTGCAAACAGACACTTTCTACAAAACAGTCATACATCAACAATAAAAAAACAAAAATCGATCGGCAAATGATTCATCCAAAGGGACGATCGAGCCAACAATTATTGCATCACATTAATTCTGTAGTTCGCTGCCTTTGGAAAGTGATAAAAATCTCAATATCGGTTCAGTTTTTTTTTTGGTAAAGGTAAAATAGTTAGTTTGGTACGGGAAGTGAGCGAATTACGTCGTCAGTCAATTCATAGGCGGCATATACAGGATAATTTGGTGCCAGTAAGGCAAGTGCGCTAGATTATCCGTTATCTGTTACCTAACTGAAAGAGTAAAGTTTTCAATTTGAATTATTTATTTATTGTTTAATCAAGTGCAGTGTGAGTTTTTTGTGGATGATTATTGGGGAGAAAATGAAGAATGGAGCGCCAACCTGCAGAAAGCTGGTAAGAATTATTTCCTAATCTATGTGTCTCTACCTTGAAGTGATTCTAGTTTTTCGAAATGCAATTGTAGTTGATGGCACTTTTTATAAATCTTTTTATTTCATCTGTTTATTTAAAATAATTAAACTTTTGACCGAGTTAGTACTAAATATAGTTTTTCTTTCTTTCTAGGTGACACGATACAGCTTTTGGTAAGTTTGGCATTAGTTTGCCCCTGGTTGCCATATAGATGTAGAGCTTTTAGTCCCATATTATTGACTTGTATGTTACCAAATTGCTGCATGCCATATTTATTCGACAAGAAACGACGAGTTTTGAATTTTTTCAAATTTTCTTTCTGTAAAATTTATTTAAACTCAGATATTATACGTTAACGAATCTCTACAGAAGACTCTTTTGATATTTAAATTATTGTATTGTATTGTGAACTATACTTTTTATTGTTTTGGCAGCTAATTTGAGTTTTGCAGTTTTTTTCTCCTTTAAATTACACCCTAAATTGAATTGTTTTTCAATTCCCAAATTGATTTTTCAATTTAAAAATCACGTTTATTCAATTTTCAAAAACTGACTTGCCATGTTTTCCACAGTGGGCTGTTATTATCTAAACTTTTAAATTTAAAACATTCTAAGTTGGTAAAAAATGCAAGTCTAAAAAG